ACATTGCCTGGTTCTACAATCGATGCCAATGGAAGCAGCAGTCAGGACATCAGACAATGCATAGCACCAGGCAAATCAGCTGCAAAGGACCTCTTTCAGGTGCTGAAGAGCAAAGATGTTTCCTTCAGGACTAAGGTGTGCCTGCCACAAGCCATGGTATAGTCAATTGCATCATATGCATGTGAGAGCTGGACAATGAATAAGGAAGACTGAAGAACAATTGATGCTTTTGAGCTGTGGTGTTGGCTAAGAATGCTGAAAGTACCACGGACTGCTAAAAGAACTAACAGGTCTGTCCTGGAGGAAGTGTAGCCAGAATGCTCCTTGGAGGCGAGAATGGCCAGACTTCGTCTCACATACTTTGATCATGTTGTCAGAAGGGACCATTCCCTGGAGAAGGATGTCATGCTTGGTAAAGTGGAGGGTCGACCAAAGAGGGGAAGGCCCTCAATGAGATGGACTGACACGGTGGGACCAGCGATGGGCTCAAGTATAGCAAGAATTATGGTGCTGGGTCAGGACTGGGCAGTGTTTCGTTCTGCTATTCATAGGGTCACTATGAGTTGGAAACAACTCAACAGCACCTAACAACAACAACAACAACAACGCTTTCTACTGTAATCTGCTAGGCACTTCAAGGAAAAAAGGAAATTGAGAAATTTATATGAAATATGATTGCTTAGAGATATTATAGGATAAAAATAAGAAGTGATTTTAAAAAACTGGCAATTGTATACCCAAAAATATATGGTGTATTTCAAAATGGTTTCTTTAGAGGTACTTTGTTTCAAGAGTTCCCTTGGTAGAACAAACGGCTAAGCGTTCAACTAGTGGCTGAAAGTTCGAATGCACTCAGAGGTGCCAAGGAAGATAGGCCTGGCAATCATTTATTGAAAACCCAGTGGAGCAGTTCTACTTTGTACACATGGGGTCCTCAAGAATCAGAATCACTCAGTAGTAACCAATCACCACTGCTACTTTATTCTAAAAAGTACTCGTTTCAAACTCTTGTTGAAATTTCTCTTTTGAAATTGCTTGCAGAGCCTAGCACATACTCTTTTGAATTGGAAGTTAGATGATTATATTTTCTAGGTGGATTTGTCTTCTAGAAACAGCCAGAAGCAATTAAAATTTTTTCTTGTATGATTTGCATCCTGAGTAAAATAAAAGTTTCAATTTTTTCTAATCCCAGCAAGTATTTTCTAAGAATGTTCTTTTAAGCATTTTTATTTTTGGAAAAGGTTTATACAGAGTAAGGGAAAAAAATCTTTGGGGATGATAAGTAGATGAGTATTACTTTACTCATTAATCCACACTGTTCAAATGTCTATTCTATAATGAGTGAGATTGTAAAACGCACCTTTTCACTCCCTTCTCCCTGCAAGCCCTTTTGTTTTTTCCTTGAAAGAGGCTTCCATTTACAATTTCATCAGTAGAATTGCTGGCAAATTCTTAAAGTTGTTGTTTTTGTTGTTGTTGTTATGTGCTGTCGAGTCAGACCCGACTCATAGCGACCCCTCCTTGGGTTTCCGAGGCAGTATCACTACGGAAGTAGGTTTGCCCAACCTTCCTTCCGAGGAGTGGCTGGTGGGTTTGAACCGCCAGCCTTCTGGTTAGTAGTCAAGTGCCTTAGACACTATGCTACCAGAGCTCCAAAAAGTAGGTATATGTTATTATAGATAATTGCATAGTCCTGCCATTAAAAATATCTCTGCCTTTTTCTAAACACACATTAATGCTAGACAAGTCAGCCTCTTTAGGCATTCTTTCTCTTTCCAAAGGCTTCTTCTCAGTCACCCCTGTTGAATCCGCATCCTCGGCCTGTGTCGTAAATGTTGGGACATTGAAGTGTTCTATATCCTCTCTCCTTTGAGAAATTTCACGAACTCTCCATTTCCTCCATTTCTACCTTCACACTAAATGACCCCAGAGTCCATAGTTATGGCCTAGCTCTCTTTTGGGCTCCACATTCAATTATCTGATTGCTTTCTACAGAGTGCCCCATAGAGGTCCCAAAGGCTCCTTCTGCACAAATCAACTCATTTTACCCTCTTTCAAACTTGCTTTCTCCTGCATCTGTAGGACCCTATTACCTAGCTACCCATCTAGAAACCTAGGCATCTTCATGGACCTCTCTCCACCCCACTCCTCTTCATCCTCATTGCCATTACTGTAGTCACTTCTGCCCTGGACAACTGCAGCAGATTCCTAAGTGGTTTTGTCTTGTCCCATCCTAAAACTACTTTCTTCTGAAAAACGTCTCCACTAAACTCTTTTTCTCTAAGTCTTTGGAAACTGCACCTTAAGGACCCTCAGCCTTTGCCCGGCCCATTCTTTCTGAGTAAATCATGCTCAACCTTCTCCCTCCCTCCTTCACACTTCAATTTTTGCCCTGGTCTTCAACTTCCAACCCTGGGAAGCATTCCATCTGGTTTAAGGGGCTCTGTCAAGTGCTTCTTCAGTGCCTGTCACAGTACTTATAGCATTGTCTCAATTATTTTCTAGTTTAGTTCCCCCACATTTTATAATGAGCTCCTTTGGACAGCACTGAGCCCAATTTGTTGATGTTGTTGTTGTTCTTATGTGCTGTCGAGTTGGACCCGACTCATAGCGACCCCTCCTTGGATTTCCGAGGCAGTATCACTATGGAAGTAGACTGCCCCATCTTCCTTCCGAGGAGGTGGCTGGTGGGTTTGAACTGCCAGCCTTCTGGTTAGCAGTCAAGTGCCTTAGGCACTACGCTACTATTAAAGGCAAACTGAACACTTCTGACCCCCCCCCAAATGCTTCTTAATATACTTTATTATTAAAAATAGTTGGTATATTACAATATATCATTCACATACAATTGGGGAGACTTTCGAGGACAATAGTGGTAGCCAAATGCCTGGCCTATTGGGCAACATAGTGCAAGATGATGTCACCCGTTTGCTGGACCACTAAAATAGCCTATGTTATGGATTGATTTGTGTTCCCCAAGACAGTGATGAAAACTGAACCTCTACGCCTGCAGTTACAAATGCCTTGTGGGAAGGAGTTGTCTTTGTTATATGAATGAGACAGGACTATTATAGAGTGTGTCTTGAATCATTACCTTAAAATTTATAAAAGGAGGAAATTAAGGAAGTAGAAAACCAAAAACCAAACTCACTGCCGTTGAGTCAATTCAACTCATAGTGATCCCTCCTTGGGTTTCTGAGGGGGTATCACTATAGAAGCAGATTGCCCAATCTTCCTTCTGAGGAGTGGCTGGTGGGTTTGAACTGCCAGCCTTCTGGTTAACAGTGAAATGCCTTAGGCACTCCACCACCAAAAAGAGATGTGAAGACTGCCCTGCAGCAGAAGTTCAAAAGAGGCAAGCACATTCCCCTAGGGCCAGCAGCCTGAATTCAGACTTCTAACCTCCTAAATTGTGAGAACATAATTTTCTCTCTGTTAAAGCATCCACTTGTGATATTTCTGTTACAACTCACTCATTGCCATCATCTCAATTCGACTCAGAGTGACCCCTCCTTGGGTTTCCGGGGCAGTATCACTGAAGAAGTAGATCGCCCAATCTTCCTTCCAAGGAGTGGCTGGTGGGTTTGAACCACCAGTCTTCTGGTTAGCAGTCAAATAACTAAGCCTTCCACATTTGCATAAGGCCCCCTCTCTTCCTTCAGCTTTCTCCAGGAGCAGGCAGTGGTAATAATTTTAAAACACAGATACTGTAACTCCTCTACTATGGCTTACAGGGGTCCTACAAAGATCTGCAATCTGTCCATATCCCCTAATCTCACTGCCAATCATTCTCTCTTACACAGCTTCAACCATGCTGACCTTCTTTCTCGCAGTTCCTGTAAGCGGTCAAACTTATTCTAGCATCAAAGACAGCAGTTTTGATTCTCTTTGCCTAGAAAAGTCTTCCCCTAGATCTTAGCATGACAGGCTCCTCATCGCTGTTCAAACGTCATTTAACTCAGAGGCCTATCCAGACAACGTATCTAAAATAGCCCATCATCTCCTAGTCAAACTCTTACCCACTACGCCTGCTATAGTTTCTTCATAAAACCTATTCCTATCTGATAATTTCTTGTCTCCCTATTAAAGTGATAGCTTCACTAGTGCAAATGATTGCATCTCTCTTGCTCACTGTTGTCTTCCCAAATCCTAAAACAGTGTCTGGCCAATAAATACTTGTTAAATGAATAAGTGCACTTAATAATCATGTACGAATATGTCCACCTTTCATTTTCCCACTACCCCGTTACCTTCAATTCACAGGAATCCGTGAAGGTTGCTATCTTTGCAGGGAAGCTCTTGAACCGGTACCACCTTCCCAAAAGGGTCCTCTGTTGCACGCCAGGCGAGGCATCTCCAGCCTGGTCGCTAGTAGGACCGCATGGACCAACAGACGCGCAGGACTAGGCACACGCGTCTGAGAAGCGGTGGCGTCACAGGATGACTTCTCACTTCTTTCTCTTTCCTCAATCTTAAGTTCGTGACCAGCCTGGCCAGCCGCAGAGCTCAGCAACCCCTTGCGGTTACCCGTCAGAGAGCTAGCCAAAGCTACCCCGCCTTGGCAACCGCCATTCGAGAGCTAGCCTGCCCCCTCCCGGCCACCGTAGTTCACGGAAACTGCAAATTGGTTCCCTCCTCTCGCATGCGCAGTGGCCCCGTTTGGCGTAGTGTTTCTTAGCAACTGCTTCGAGTCCCTCAGTCAGGGGCGGAGCCTCGAAAGCACAAGGGGGAAGCCGATGGAGAAGTGAATGAGGCCAATCGGAAACGAGTCCTAGACGCCATGGGCACGCCTCCTCTAACTGTCGCGAATGCGCAGGAGACTTTACGGCACCGGGGGTGGGGGTTACTGGGGGAAAGGAGGCGAGAAGGAAGCAACCAACCAACCAAGTCGCCACCCCCCCCCAACCCCACCCACCATGGACCTGGTTTACGGCTCCGGGCTCGGGCTCCACAGCGGCCGCTGATTGGCTGTTGAAGGCTTGGTCCCATCCCAGTGACCCCAAAGTGCTGGAGGGAGGGGGTAGGGGTGGCCCAGTGCAAAGTGCATCCCGAAAGCCCCCGGCCTGGAGCCTCCGCGGGTGGCGACTTCGGACCCTGTATGACCCGGGACCTCACAGCCCCGAGACTGCCTAGTTCCCTCAGTAGCTGGTAGCCTCCAACTCGAAGCGCACCAATACCTTGCTCCGAGCCCCCGGACTGGGACTGGCCCCCCAACCCGAGCTGAGACTTCCTCCCTGCACCCCGGCCAAGAGGCTGCCCGGCGACCGGGACCGCCGCCCCCTGCCTGCCCGGCTGTCTGAATGCTCTCTAGGCTGGGGCCGTGAGGCACCGAGGAGGATCTGGAACACCCGTGTCTGGCCCTGCTTGGGGTGTTTCTTCAATGGAGAAGTTGGTGAGTGTGGAGGAGACTGAAAGGAGGAAGAGAAGCAGCAGCTGAGGAGACAGGTAAACTCACTAACCTCCTCCGAGAGGAAGGGGCTGACTGGGAGGGTAGTGGGGAGGAGAGTCACTCCTTTCTCTCGGTCCTTACCACTCTCCAGTCCCTTCTGTTGCTCCTCCTTTTTCAGAGCCCCCTCCTCGCTTCTGGGGCACTGCATCATCACTCACTTATTTCTGTTTTCTAGGGTTGAGCTGACTGAAGGAGACGAGAGAGCAGGAAGTGTTCTGCTCACCCAGCAGAGAAGAAGCAGGTGGAGTACCTCTGACCAGCATCCTCTAGAAAGGTAATGAGCACAGCCCGCCCCTCCCCCATTGTTTGTTCCTGGCCCCTGCTTCATTAGGCAGTGCTTTATTTTGAGGGTGGTTGCCTGGGAATGCACCGTTTCCTAGAACTAAGATTTTGATTAAAAGTAAAAAAACTGTGTCCTAATCCTTACCATTGAATGACTACCTCCAGAGACTTATTTCCCCCCTTTCTCTCTGTTCAGTTTTTATGTATTTTACATTATCTTTTGGTACACTATGCCATTTATCTTCTTCTGAAGCTTTGAGACCTTTTTATAAGCTTCCCCTGCTTCCCTTATTCTCATAGGAATTCCACAATTTCTTGTTAATTTTGAATGACTCTGCTTTTTAATTAAACCACAGTTTACTGCCCCCTCCCTTGCTCATTACCTTTCTTTTATCTCGATCAGAAAATCTTTTCTGTTACTTTACTGACAGGGGATTGGTAGAGGAAGATAAAACAATGGGTTGAAATTTATGGGTCTCATAATAATTTGATTTACTTTCCCAGTAAAAAGTAAGTCTATATTATAATAGTCAGAATGGTATGAAGGCAGTATCTGGCTATGAAGCACTTACGTATAATTACGTAAGTGTTTGTGTGTGGCAGATGTGAATGGGCTCTGAAACTATTACAAGAAGATAAGTAATACTTATTATGCTTCAGATTTTCTAGGAGAACTTATAAAAATTTATACTACATTTTACTCGTTTAACACTCAGGAATTTAAAAACGAAGAGATGCTTTAGTCTGTTTAGGAATCTGGGCCTGTAGTTTAGATGTCTTCATGAATAGGATTTCTCATTTCAAAACCCTTGCACAGAATTTTGCATTATTATTGTTTTAATTGTGGTAAAAATATACCAAAACATTCTCCAATACAACTTTGACATTTACAGTTCAGTGATACTGATTACATTATTCCTCTTGTGCCACCATTACTGCTATCCTTTACCAGAGTATTCTACCCCCATTAACATAAACGCAATGCAAAACCTCTTTCTTTCTCCTTCCCTCCCACCAGTGGTAACCAATAATCTTTTATTTTGATACATTTCCTTATTGCATATAAGTGAATCATACAGTATTTGGCCTTTTGTGACATATTTTTCACTCAGCATAATGTTTTCAAAGTTCATCCATATAGTGGTATGTATCAGAACTCCATTTGTCTTTATGGCTGAGTAATATTCCATTGTATGTATATATTGTGTTTTGATTATCCTTTCATCTGTTGATGAATATGCGGGTTCTTTCCACCTTTTGAGTGTTGTGAAAGTGTTGCAGTGCATATTGGGGTATAGATTGAAATTTAAGCACCTTATTTATGTGGTCACATTTCTGCTGTATTTTGTTCTTACCTTTGGAAATGCACTAAAGGAAAGTTTAGGATGTTAACATAATTCTTAAAGAGAGAACATGAAGAAAGACATTATATGATGAGAATTAATTCGGAAATTGGCCAGGTAAGTTAGTCTTCTAATATCCAGTGATGTTATGTGCCGTCGAGTTGGACTCGACTCATAGCGACCCCTACTTGGGTTTCCGAGGCAGTGTCACTACAGAAGTAGATTGCTCCATGTTCCTTCCGAAATATCCAGTGATGGCAGAGTATAAAGTGACTTATTAATCTCTGAGTTATTTTAGTATCTTAGATTGTTTATGATAATTTAAGATAAAAAAGTATAGAAGTTAAGAAATTTTTGCTCAGATCTACTGGACTTTATGCCTTCCAAAAAGAAATTTATATCTTATTGATCCTTTTAATTGTCACATCATAGTTAAAGATACTTTTAAGGAGTTTCTGAGGGTTTGCATAGTCTTGAAATCTGAACGGGACACTGAAGGGGAGAATATATTCTATTGAATAGGATTTAGAATCAGTATTTACAGATGACTGTTCCATGGTGAAAATTTAGGGCAGCCTTTATATGTGTGGGAGCATAGTGCCTAAGGCATTTGCTGCTAACCAGAAGGCTGGTGGGTTCAAACCCATCAGCCACTCCTCGGAAGGAAGGTTGGGCAATCTATTTCCATAGTGATAGCACCTCGGAAACCCATGGAGGTGTCACTATGAGTGGGATCTGACTCAACAGGAGGGAGTTTTTTATATGTATGTGTGTGTGTATAAGGAGCTCTGATGGTGTAGTGGTTAATGCATTTGGCTGCTAACCAAAAGGTCGGTGGTTCAAACCCATCAGCTGCTCTGTGGAAGAAAATCCTTAAGGATTTACCACCTCAGAAACCCAAAGGGGGTTGCTATAAGTTAGAATAGACACGATGGCAGTGAGTTTGGTTTTGGTTTATATGTATGTACAGGGAATTGATAACTTCACTTCAGTAAAAACTACTCAGGGGTCTATAAAGTGCAAGGCTAATTTTCATTATTTAAATATGGAAATCACTAGAGAGATAGCCTAATGATTACTTTAGGACTTTTAAAGAATATTAAAATACTTGAAGAATGCTTTTAAGCGAAAAATGAAGTATCTATTTTTTATTTAAACCTTCTTGGGTAAACATTCTTCTCTAATTTATCTGTAACTATTGGAAAGTTTCATTTCTGAGGGGATCTCCCCCTGCACACTTTTGCCCTATCCCAGATGGTAAGAGAGCTAGGTTGGGTCTGTGGCTAAAATCAAGCATGTAAGGTCAAGAGAGGACACTGCTTTGCCCTGCTTTCTGGTTTGTTTCTTCATATTGCTTAAATAATATTTCATTGATCTTCTCAGATTTTAATAGTTTTTCTAAGGTTAGAGAGAATTTATCAATTGTCAGCATTCTCCTAATTAGGTCATTTATATTTTTCAATGTGGCAGTTAACTTTGTGTTAATTCTGTTGCCAGTCCGTGGATTTTGGGCGGGGGGGGGGGGGAGGGATCTGATTTATTTGATAACCAAATACAGATTTATAATCACATAGGGAGAAGATTGATTTAAATTGGTGATAGTCAATGATGACTCCACCAGTGTAGCTCCATGGGAGAGAAGACTTGGCGTTCTGCTCCTGTAAAGATGGTTGTTTGTTGTTGTCAAGTCAGTTCTGACTCATAATGACCATACAGGACAAAGTAGGACTGCCCCATAGGGTTTCCTAGGCTGAAATCTTTATAAGAGTGGATCACAGGTCTCTTTTCCCACAGAGCCACTGGTAGGGTCAAACCACTGACCTTTAACTTAGCAGCCCAGTGCATAAGTATTGCATTGCCTGCTCCCCATAAAGATTACAGCCTAGGAAAACCGATAGGCAGTTAATATTCTTATAGGGTTGCTATGAATCAGAATTGATGTGAAGGCCCACGATAATAACACAAGCTGATAATTGCCAAACATAGGTTAATAGGATAATGGAAAATGCAAAAACGCAATGCAACACACTGCCCTAGAGTTGGATCCGACCCCTCCTTGGGTTTCCCACGTGGTAACACTCCAGAAGTAGATTGCCCAGCCTTCCTTCCAAGGAGTGGCTGGTGGGTTTGAACCACCAGCCTTCTGGTTAGCCATCAAATGCCTTAGGCACTATACCACCAGAGCACTCATCATTTATGATACTTGTGATTTAAACTTTGAGTTTACATCTGTTTGAGTGATTTGTAAAATTTCTTCTCTTCCTCATTCACATTTCATGAAAATTGTTTTTGCTGTTGAAATTTGTGGCTTATGATGTGTTGTGCTCAATTAATCCTTATACCAAGCGCTGAAGCCCAGTAATTCGAAGGAAATAATAATACTCTGATATGGAAGTAGCCCAGGTGGCACAGTGGTTAAAGCACTTGACTGCTAACCAAAAGGTGGGGAGTTCAAACTAATCAGCCTCTCTGCATAAGAAAGAAGTGGCAGTCCACATCAGTAAAGATTTATAGTCTAGAAACCCTTTGAGGCAGTTCTGCTTTGTCATTCAGGGTCCTCTGAGTTGGAATCAATTCGCTGGCAGTGAGTTTGGTTTTGGGGTATTTGATTTGGAACATAAACACTGTGTTGACTATGTTGAGTAATACTAAAATAACACTTCTAAATTTATTCTATGCTACAAGTTCTTGATCATACAAGTAGATCATCAGCATACATATCAGAGAAATTGCACATTTTGATTGGGCTTTATAATATTTCTACACCAGTCTTTTTTCTCTGTCTTTTGGGCCATTGGTGCATTTTTTTTTTTTTATAGAGCCAAGATCATTGGAGCTGCTGATTATATTTTCTTGCCATCCTGTATCTTTGTTTACTCTGCAAAAAAATGCCTATTTCTTTTTTGAGTAGCAAGCTGTTAATCTTGTTTCTAGTTTGTGTGAAATCAGAAGCTCAGCTTTAACTTGCATCCCTTAATCAAAAATGTGTGGGTTCTTAATGCTAAAAGCCATTAATGACTAATCATTTATGCTAAAGGAATTTGGGAACATGTGGCCAAATTTGGTGAAGACTAATTTTGGATAGGTCTTAAACATATTTTGTTGTATAGTTATTTTATTCTTCACTCTGTTGTTATTATGTGCCGTTGAGTCAGACCCGACCCATAGCGACCCCTCCTTGGGTTTCCAGGGCAGTATCACCATGGAAGTAGATTGCCCCATCTTCTTTCCGGGGAGTGGCTGGTGGGTTTGAACCGCCAGCCTTCTGGTTAGTAGTCAAGTGCCTTAGCCACTATGCTACCAGAGCTCCTTTCTTCACTCTAGGAACATAGATTTTTTTAAAACTTAAAAGCAAGAAGTTTTTGTTTTAACTAAATGAAGTTCACTTGGCATCTGTAGGGAAACTATAGTTGTAAACTAGGGGCTTAATTTATGTAAATTTATAGTTTCTAATAAGGTCAATAGTATGAAAGCTGGGAAGCTTAGATTGTTTTCTTTTGCCCTATGTATGTAGAGTGGAAAAGAGAAATGAACAAAATTTAAACACATACTAACCTTGGGCAAAAGGGTTTCCCACATAAAAGTAATACACTTGGGGAAATGGTTCATTTTGATGTAATTCTGAAGTCTATTTGTTTTGTTTTCCTTT